TCCTTTGGTGACTTTCCCTAGCTCCTTTTCTTCTCAACAATGTAGTAGTGTGCCATGGCAAGGGACTTGGGCCATTTTTCTCCTTTATTCTGCTCAAACCCTTTTATTCCTTGTCTTTATATTACTAGTCTTATGGCTAAAGATACCATCGATGTGGTTGTTTTTAGGTGCTGTCAAGAACAACTCATAACGACCCTATGAAGAATAAATCAGAACCCTGTCCTATCATGTGCCATGTTTATCATCTTGGCCCATTTGAGCCAACTGCTACAGTCATTGTGAAAATCCATCTTGTTGAGACGTCGTCTTCTCTTTCAGTGATGCTCCATCTTTCCAAGCATAATGTCCCTTTCCAAGGAATAGCCTCTCCTATCAACATGCCCAAAGTATGAGAGATGAAGTGTCATCATCTCTGCCTCCAAAGAGTACTCTGGCTGCACTTTGTCCAAGATATATCTGTATATTCTTTTGGCAGTCCATGGGAGTACTCAGTACTTTTCTCCAGTACAACATTCAAAGGCATCAATTCTTCTTCTGTCATCCTTATTCATTGTCCAGCTCTTAGATGTGTAGCAAATGACTTAAAAGACCATTGTCTGAATCAGGTGCACCTTAGTCTTCAAACTGACATTATTGCTCTTCAGTATCTTGAAGAGGTCCCTGACAGTAGACTTACCCAATGTACTATGTCTCTTGATCGCTGGTACCAAGGATGTTGAATGCTGATCCAAGAAAGATAAAATCATTGTAAACTTCAATCCTTATTCCATCTATCATGATGCTGCCTATTGGCCCAGGGGTGAGGACCTTTGTTTTCCTGATGTTGAGATATAATCCATTTTGAAGGCTGCAGTCTTTGATTTTCTGCAGCAAGTTCTTCAAACTGTCCTCATTTTCAGCAAGCAAGGTTGTGTCATCTGAATAGCATAGGTTATTGATGAGTCTTCCTCCAATCCTGATGCCACATTCCTCTTCAAAGAGTTTGCTGTTGTTGTTGTTGTTATGTGCCCTTGAGTCGTTTGCGACTCACAGTGACCCTATGTACAACAGCCCTAACCCATGCTCTATCCTGTGCTAATCTCATTGCCTCTGACACACCCATCTCGATTACCCCAGTCACTGAATCAATCCACCTCATAGAGGGTCTTCCCCTCCTGCGCTGTCCCTCTACTCTACTCAGCATGATGTCCCTCTCTAACTCCTTACAACATGTCCAAAGTATGTCAGACGAAGCCCCAGAATCCTTGCCTCCAAGGAGTAGCCTGGCTTAACCCTCTCTAGGATGAATCTGCTTGTTTTCTTGGCAGTCCATGGTACAGTCAATACTCTTCTCCAGCACCATAGCTCAAAGGCATCAATTCTCATTGTCCAACTCTCTGATGCATATCAAGTGATTGCAAAAACCATGGCCTGTATCAGGCGCCCCTTAGTCTCCAGAGAGACACCGTTGCTCTTGAGTACTTTAGAGCGGTCCTTAACAGCAGATTTTCCTATCGCAATACATTTTTTTATTTCCTGGCTGCTGGTGCCAAGACTGTTGACCATGGAGCCGAGCAAACTGAAGCTGTGAACAATCTCAGTCTCTTCACCACCCATCCTGATGCTACCGATTGGTCCAGCGGTGAGAATTTTTGTCTTCTTGACATTGAGCCTTGGTCCATACTGAAGGCTGTAGTCCTTGATCCTCTGAAGTGCATGAGGTCCTCCTCAGTTTTAGCAAGCAGAGTTGTGTCATCTGCATAACGCAGATTGTTGATAGATCATCCACCAATCCTAACACCACGCTTCTCCTCATAGAGCCCAGCCTCT